CAGCAGACACCCAAAGAATGTTGATCGTCTGCTTGACAGCATACGCATGACGTCTATAAAGGCTTCTAATATCTAACCTATGATATTAGCAATCGCTCCTTCATGCTCCTCCTTCGCCTGCCCTACCCCCATCTTAAAAGCTCAGTATGGCTTGCATCTTCCATCATGTCTCATGCTGCCTACTAAGCAAACAACTCGTCCAGGGCAGCAGGTATCATCAACTCTGGGCCTACAACACAGCCTACCCCTTTTCCTGAGTTTTTTCGAGTTATTTTCCGCACGGGGAGATTAAATGGGCCCCTAAACAATACGTTTCTCAAGGATATCCCCAAGCACTCATTAGATGCCCAATGAGTATATGAAGAATAAACAAAAGCACTGGAGAGGCCTATAAGCCAAGGCGTTGGTAATGAATGTCACTAGCCTGGCTTCCTCTCCAAGTGGCTAGTAAGAGGCCATGCTGGTGGGGCAAGTCACTTAAAGGTCAGTTTGGATGTGACAGTCCTTAAACTAGGGAGTGAGATCTGTGTAACACAGCTTAGGGGAGTGTGCCACGTATACGGGCTATTTGGAATACAATAGAACAGGATAAGGGGGAGAATGAAAGGTGCAGCAAGATCATGCTGGAATGTAAGGAGAATTAAAGAGGCAAGCGCCTGGAAGGATGCCTTGGTGGCAATAAGACAAAGAGAAGACAAGGAAGGATCTAAATACGAAGAAACCTATGCACAGCTTTGTCAGCCAAGACTTCTCTGACAGTTGCAAAATTGCTTAATTAATAAAATGCCTAAAGAGTGGCACGTGGGCAAGCACTCTGCTCTTCGGAACAGCGTGAGAGACCAGGAGAAAAAGAACAGGGGCAAGAGTGGGAACAGAGAAAATGGACCAGAGACGGATTTTCTTCTAATACACAGATTAAAGATGATTGTTCTAATATCAAAGCAACAAGAAAAAAAAACGTTTTTTACCCTAATATTTCCTGTCTGTACTTCAGTTAAGAAAATCTGATGCTGAAAACAAAATAAAACAATCATAATTCTGATTTCTTTTATCGCAGATCCTATCTTGTACACTAGAAAGTGCCAAGGTAGAAAATAAGCCGCATGAGGACACATCCAGTTCCGGGCCAAAGACTGATAGGCCACTGGTGCAAAATTCTCAGACAAAACCAGCACCAACAAAAACCAGCACCAACAAAAACCGGCAACAGGCCGGGCGCAGTGGCTCACGCCTGTAATCCCAGCACTCTGGGAGGCCGAGGCGGGCGGATTGTTTGAGCTCAGGAGTTCGAAACCAGCCTGAGCAAGAGCGAGACCCCATCTCTACTAAAAATAGAAAGAAATTAATCGGACAACTAAAAATATATAGAAAAAATTAGCCAGGCATGGTGGCACATGCCTGTAGTCCCAGCTACGCGGGAGGCTGAGGCAGGAGGATTGCTTGAGCCCAGAAGTTTGAGGTTGCTGGGAGCTAGGATGACGCCACAGCACTCTAGCCCAGGCAACACAGTGAGACTCTGTCTCAAAAAAAAAACAAAAAACTGGCAACAACTAACTTGTATGCCCAGCTCCCACTGTGGACCTTGAAAACTGATGAGTTCAGGAAAGAACAACTATTTCTGTCAGTTCTTTGAATGTGATTGTGAGGAAAAGAAGAAAGTAATGAAATGAACACCTGGAAGGAGGAGAGCCAGCATGAAAAACAGTAGCTGAGAAGGTTCTCACACACAGACACACACGCACGTAAGGATCAGTGTATTTTATACAGCAAAACACTTTAATAGAATATTGGATATGAAAATATTAAAAGATGAGCTGCAGTACTTTAATGCAGTGGTCCCCAACCATTTTGGCATCAGGGATTGGTTTCACCGAAGACAATTTTTCCATGGACAGGGGATGGGGGTGGGGAGGATGGTTTCAGGATGATTCAAGGCATTATATTCACGGTGCAGTCAGACCTCTCTGCTAATGACAATCTGTATTTGCAGCCGCTCCCCAGCGCTAGCATAACCGCCTCAGCTCCGCCCCAGATCATCAGGCATTAGATTCTCATAAGGAGCTGCAACCTGGATCCCGCACATGCGCAGTTTACAGCAAGGTTCGCACCCCTATGAGAATCTAACGCTGCCACTGATCTGACAGGAGGCAGTGATGCAAGTGGTGAGGAGCAGCTGTAACTACAGACGAAGCTTCGCTTGCTCACAGCGACAGACCTCCTGCTGTGCGGCTGGTCCCTAACAGGCTGTGGACGGGCATCGGTCTGCAGCCAGGGGTTGGGGACCACAGCTTCAAGGGACAGATATCAATATTACCTTTAACCTTGTGTTCTGCTAAGTTCACGAGTTACACATCACACTGGCAAGTTTCCTAACTTATAAGATTATGGTTGAAACATTAAAATTCTCAATCATTTCCTCACCTCCTAAAAAAGATTATCCTTTCAGCTTACAGTTCTCTGCTTCAGCTTCTATTCAGGGGTTTGTGTTTTCATACAGAAGGAAGCTGATGAAAGTGAGCATGAGTTTGGATAAAAACTGGTACATTTTTAGATGCTAAGATAGGAAAACTTAAGTGAGATCATGTTTAAACAAAAACTCCTGATCTATTTCAGATCAGCTCACATGATCGGGATTAGGTTTCTACCTTCTCTTTAAGAACCTGAAACAGTATGACAAAAATATCAGGTAAATAAGCAGTGGCTTTAATATAGTTTTGAGTGTGTGTGTAGTCACAGGTTTATGAAATCAAATAGGCCCCAAAAAGTAAAATGGAAACATTAACATGAAAATATTATCTAAAATTCGGTTTGGCAGTGTCTTAAAAAGATGAACATAAATTTGCCATATAACTCAGCAATTCCATTTGTATATTTCTACTCCTGAAAAAGAAAATATATGTTCATACAAAGATTCATGAGTATTCATAGAAACATTATTCACAATAGTCAAAAACAAAACAAAACAAAAAGTGTGGAAACAATCCAAATGTCCAGCTGATGAATGGATAAACAAAATGTGTATATCCATACAACAGAATACTATTTGCCAAGAAAAAGGAATGAAATATAGATACATGCTATGACATGGACGGGCTTCAGAAATCTTATGCTAGGTATAAGAAGCCAGATGCAGGCTGGGCGTGGTGGTTCACGCCTGTAATCCCAGCACTTTCCAAGGCTGAGGTGGGAGGATCACTTGAGCCCAGGAGTTCAAGATCAGTCTGGGCAGCATAGCAAGATCCTGTCCCAACAAAAAAAAAAAAGGAAAAAGAAAAAAGAAGCCGATGCAAAAGAAGATTACATACTGTATGAATCTATAGAGACAGAAAATAGATTTATGTTTTCCTGGGGCTGGAGGCGGGAAAGGGGAGTGACCGCAGATGGGCAAGAGGGATCTTTGTGGGGTGACAAATATCCTGAAATTGGCCCATTATGATGGTTGCACAATTCTATAAATATACTAAAAATCACTTAATTGTATATGTAAAATGAGTGAATTTTCTGGTATGTCAATCATATCTCGACAGAACTATTTTTAAAATGCATCCCATAAGGTGCACGCTGCAACACGTGCAAACGCCAATATAAAAGGAATCAACACAGCATGTGCCCTTTTATGTCTGGTTTCTTTTTTTACTGAATATAATGTCTGTGAGACTCGTCCAAGCTGATACTGATATCAGTAGCTCATTCTTTTTTGTTGCTGTGGAGTACTCCGTTGTACGACCATACCACAACTTGTTTACAAATTCTCCTGTTAAAGGACACTCAGGCTGTTTCTCATTTGGGGCTGTTATGAACAATGCTACCGTGAACGTTATTCTGAATGTTGCTGGTAGGACACGCACACTCATTTTTCTTAGGTACATAGCCAGGAGTAGAAATGCTGATTCAAAAGGGAAGCAAATATTCAGATTAGAAACTGCCACAAAATTTTCCAAAATATTAAGCAAATTTACACTCCTACTACCAATGTCTAAAACTTCCAGCTGTTTCACAATACAACTGACAACAGTTGGCATTGTCAATCTTTTTTAATTGTAGCCGTTCTGTTGGGTGTGCAGGGATATCCTGACATGGCTTTAATTTGCATGCCCTTAGAAATGAGATTGAGCACATTTTCATATATTTATTGACCCTTTGGATATCTTCTTTGGTGAAGTCCCTGTTCAAGATTTCTGTTCATCTCTTAACGGGTTGCCTATATTTTTCTTATTGCTTTAGAGAAAGTTCTTTATTCTGGACATAAATCTTTTATCAGATATATGAATTACAGCTACTGGCCCCAAATCTGCGGCTTGCCTTTTCTCTCTCTTAGTGGTGTTTCAGTTATTTGGAAGTCCAAAATTTTAATAAAGTATAATTAATCTTTACATTTTCTTCTATAGTTAGTTCTTTTTATGTTCTGTTTAAGAACTCTTTGCCTATCCCAAGATCATGAAGATACTCTCCTATGTTTTCCTCTTGAAGCTTTATTGTACTATCTTTCACATTTGAGTCTTTTATCATTGATCAAATTAATATTTATATATAGAGTCAAGGTTCATTTATTTTCCCAGAAAGGTATCCCTTTTACAGCATTGTTTATTGATAAAGCTGTCTTTTTCACACTGAACTGTAGTGGCCTTACGGCCATAAATCAGGTGAGCATATTACGCATGAGTGTTTCTGGACTTTATTGTGTTCCATTGTTCTGTTTTATCCCAGGGAAATGCCACTGTCTAAATTACTGAACCTTTATAGTGATCTTGAAGTAAGGAAGATTTGAATGTACAAATTATTTTAGAACTTTTTGAGCTGTTCTTGTAAGAGAAGCAAATGCGAAAAATTAACTACTTTAAGTCTTAAATGTCCTCATATATGTAGTTCAAAGAAAAGAAATTTCTTAAGCAGTAGAATGAAAACCTGAATATTTTTCACCACATAAGACATGCAAAATCTACATGATCTCTTATATTAACTGCAGGAAGCTGTTCAGCTCCTGAATGAAAGTGACTTACCTGAGTAAGGTAGATGGTATCTTTAAACGTGCGTAAGGGGTCTGTGCTTTGGGGGAGTTTGAAATGAAGTCCGGCCTGATAGAGCATTTGCTTGTTACCATCTGCATGATGTTGTCGGTGAAGTGAAAATTTGCTATTGAAAGACCAGTCCTCTTTAGATGAGACCTTTTGAATAAAGAATAAGAGTTACAAATTTGAAAGTTGGCAGTAAGACTACTTTTCTATAAGTTCCTGACAAACCTGGAAAGTACACACTGGAAAAGAGCTCAAGGCTTGTTCTGTGGCCCTAATTTCATAAATGTTTCACCATCATACTTGGTATTGATAACTTGTGCAAAGTTAAAACAGAAAACCAGGATCCAGCACCTATATCCTTCCTTATTCAAACCAAGAAAGTTACATTTTGGTGTTTCTCTAAAAAGCCTTGCCTTATCAAAACATATTCCTGGCTTTTGAAACACTCATTATGTGTACTTTAAAATATCATTTTATCTATTTAGGTAAATGTCATTTTACCTGTTATTAGTTTGTCAAAACTGAATAATATAATGCAATCGACATTCTTTTAAAACTGTCACAATTCTTACATGGGAACAAAACACCACTCTAACAACAGCCAATGCTTCAGAGCTTGCTCATACTGCTCGTTTGTTTGTTTCTCAGTGACTACTGAACATGCCTGATAAATGTATGTTTAATTTTTATATAGCTGAAGACACAAACCAAATAATGATACTCCTCTCCCCTAAGACCCAATCTTTTTTTTAAAGCCAAAAACAATTTATAGGATCTTTATTTTATTCCTTTTATCCTAATTTATAAGATCTTTTTTTATCATCAGCTCAAAGTAAAAAACGGAGTAAAAAAACTCACACATGTTGGAGTGTACCTTTTACAAAAAAAGAAAGCAACAATTCAGGCTTCTAGGCCTATAATTTAATACAGTGTTAGCATAAGAGAAAGGTATAAGACAATTGTTGGCTATATCGCAAAATACCTGGAGTTTTAATCCAAATTACACAAAGACTTTGAAAAAACCTACTCCACACCCCCACCCCAAAAATCTGAAAATTAAAAAACTTAATCCCTTTTCATAAAGTATGACTCATGCCCAGTAATCAGGCAACACACAGGCCAATTGCCTTAAAAGGAAAAAGTTACTCTTTGGGAATCGATTCATACCACAGTATAAGAAATGTACATTAGCCATACTTAATTTGGAAGTTTTTCCAAATTATATCTATTTTCCCAAATTGCCACCACCAGAATCATTTAAAGAACACTACCCCTATTATCTATTTAACAGAGGCATTCACACTTACAATCACCTTGGATGCAAACACCTTTACCAGTAGTCTTCTATCTATTCTTCCTCCTTTTTATTTATTTACTTTTATTACTTTTAATTGACACAATAATCGTACATATTTATGGGGTACAGTGTGATATCTGGATGCTTGTGTATGATATGTAATGATCAAATCAGGCTAATTAGCATATCCATCACCTCACACATTTACCATTTCTTTGTGTTGGGAACGTTCAAAATCTTCTCTTCTAGCTATTTGAAAATACACAGTAAGTTATCATTAACTATAGTTGCCCACAGTGCTACAGACCACTAACACTATTCCTCCTATCCAGCTGTAATTTTTCATCTGTTACCCACCCTTTCTCTACTGCCCCTTCCCCCTTCCTACCCTCTAGTAACCCTACTCCACTCCCTATTTATACGAGCTCAATTTTTTTAGCTTCCACATATAAGTGTGCTTCTCTTCCTTTTCAAAGTCTGAAACAGCTTTGGGCCTCTCAGCCCTCTGATTAGTAATGATTCGAATCTATCCCATTATCAGTAAACCTGATCTTTAGTTATATGGGAAGCTTTCTACCTTCTTATAACTAGGGTTTGGAAGTCTGTTAAATTTCAGCTATAACAGTGTTACCAGAAATAATCAGAAAGGGCTAGGCAAAGCTCTAATTGCTTTAAGAATATTAATTCATAACAACTCATAACAACTCTATGGGTAGGTACTGTTATCTCCCCATTTTAGAGATGTGAACACCAGGCACAGAAAGATTAAATAACTTGCCCAATGTCCTAAGTTACTTAGTGCAGTCTAGCTCTGGCCCTTAGTTCACTAAACCTAGGAGCATTTGAAGAAAATACAACTTTCAAGCAACTCATATGCTAGAATGGGTTATATTATGGACTCTCTCTCTGTGTCAGGAACTGTGCTCAGTGCTTCAACGGATTAATTAATTAATCTCTACACACGAGCACACACACATACACATACCCACACGCACACACCCCCTATGAGGTATTTACCATTAACCCCAATTTACAGACGATGGAACTGAAATTCAAGAAATTAAATAATTTGTCCAAGGTGATACAGCTAGTATATGGCAGTTCTCATATTCAATCCAGTTCTGTTTATTCCAAAGCCCAAATTTTCAGTCACCATGCAATATTATTATTTTTATGAAAAAAGAATGTGTCACAAATTAGAGAGAGACATTTTAATAGATGTGTCAAATACATGAAAAAAACTTCTAAATAAAAGAGCCAAAGTTTTATGTAAAGTCGTTCTTTTCTTTTATTTCCCCAATTACCTATTCAAATTCCCGACTAAGAAACGTGGCTTGAAAAGAGGTGATCACATCCAGAGATAACAGACGGTTCATAACGAGCAGCACTTCTCTTCCTTCCCCTTTTCCTATCTTAAAACATAGTGTTTTTTGTATCTCTGAACATCAGCCGGCATTTCACAAAAGCATGGTGATTCCGTTATTTTAAGGAGGTGTATAGAAATGTTTGTAGAAAAGGTTTAACAATTTCTAACACTGACCTTTCTAAAGTATAGTGAAAAGAAAATCTATCAGCTTTGGAGTCAGACAATAAGTGTGAGTCCAGATAGGATACTTATTACCCGGGACACAGGACAGAGCTCCCACCGTGAGGGGCTTCAGTTTCCTCCTGGGCCTCAGCCAAAGTGGAGGGGTGGATTATCGTTAAAAAACGGGTACCTAGTCCAGAGCAGTGGCTCAGTAAATATTCTTGCTTCCTCCCCATTCTCAACCTCTGTTCCTACCTGGGTCAGGACACTAAACTTCATCTTTCTTCATTTTGAAAAAACAGAATATCTAAAAGATTAGCCCCATAATTTTGGAGCAATAAAACAGACAAGTGGTATGGGCATTCCACAATGTTTCAAAACAGCATGTTGTACATGATAAATATACGTAATTTTATTTATTAATTAAAAACAAAAAAAATTTTAAAGTTTAAAAAACAAAGGGCAGAACTAAGGTTATGGTATTATTTACTAAAGTTAAAAGTACAATATAACTTCAAAATGTAGAAGCAAATATGGTTGTATTAAGGTGGTAAAATTGAGGAAGACTTTGAAAGTGTCTTAAAATATTTTTGTGGTTACTTTACACAAGTGATGGGAAGGAGCAAACCCACATAATCATTTATCAATAGAGGAAGAAAAAGCATTTGACAAAGTCCAACATTCTTTCATGATATAAGCACTCAACAAACTAGAAATAAAAGGGTATTTCCTCAAACTTAAAAAGGGAATCTACAAAAAACCTACAGTTAACATCATATTATAGTTACAAAACCTATAGTTCACATCAGATAGTAAATGACTTGAGTTTCTCCCTGAGAAAAAGAACAAGTCAAGGATGTCTTTTCTCACCACTTCTTGTCTACATCATACTGGAGGGTCTAGCCCGGGCAATTAAGCAAGAAAATGAAATAAAAGACATTCAAATTGTAAAGGAGAAAGTAAACCTATCTCTATCTACAGATGACATGATCTTATGTATAGAAAATCCTAAAGAATCCCCCCCCCAATACTACTAGAGCTAATGAGTTCATCCACTTTGCGGGATACAAGCTCAGTATGTAAAAATCAATTGCGTGTTTATACATTAACAATGAACAATACAGAAATGAAATTAAGAAAATAGTTCTATTTACAATAGCACCAAAAAGAATAAAACACTTAGGAGTATGTTAACCAAAGAAGTGTGAGACTTGTACACTGAAAAACTATAAAACAGTGTTGAAAGAGATTAGACATCCCACGTTCATGGATGAGAAAACAATCTTGCTAAAATAGCCAATACTCACAAAGTGCTCTACAGATTAAACAATCTCTATCAAAATCCCAGCTAGCTTTTTTGCAGAAACTGTCAGACTGAACCCAAAACATTTGGAACTACAAGGCACTCAGGGTAGTCAAAACAATCTCAAAAAGAAGAACAAAGTGGTGGACTCACACACTTCCTGATTTCAAAACTTACTACAATGCTACAGCAATCAAGACAATGCATAGTGGCATAAAATATGCCACCGTAACAGAATTGAAAATTCAGAAATAAACCCGAATTTTTATGGTCAATTGATTTTGTGGGCAAAGAGAATTCAATGAGGGAAGAAATAGTGTTCTCAATAAATGGTCTTGGAACAACCGGCTTATCCACATGCAAAAGAATGAACCTGCACTCTTATCTCACAATATACATAAAAAATAACTAAAATGATTCATAAACCTAAACACAATAGCTAAACCTATAAAATTCTTAGAAGACAACACAGGAGTAAGCCTTTGTCATTTGGCATTAGGCAATGATTTCTTAGATACAACACCAAAAACACAAGAAATAAGAGATTTTTCTAAGTAGGACTTCATCAAAATTAAACATTTTTTGTGCTATAGATGATACCATTAAGTCAGTAAAATGAAAACTCACAGATTGGGAGAAAATATTTGCAAAGCATATATCTCTGATAAAATCTTACATCCAGAATATATTTAAAAAACCTTACAACTCAATAATAAAAAGACAAATAACTCAATTTAAAAATGGACAAAGGATTTGAATGGACATTTCACAAAGGAAGATATACAAATGGTCAATAAGTGCATGAAAAGATGCTCAACATAATTAGCTATCAAGGAAATATATATTTCTTATAAATGTAAATTTCCAGGGAAATAAAAAAAATGGAAAATAACAGGTGCTGTCAAGGATGGTAGAGAAATTGGAACCCTCATACATTGCTGGCAGGAATGTAAAATAATGCAGTCACTGAAGGAAACAATTTGACGGTTTCTCAGAATGTTCAATACAGAGTCACCATACGACCCAGCAATTCCACTCCTAGGTATATGTTCAGTAAAACTGAAAGCACATGTTCACGCAAAACATGTACCCAAATGTTCACAGCAGCATTATTCGTAATAGTCAAAAAGCAGAAATAACACAAATGTCCATCAACTGATAAGTGGATAAACAAAACGTGCAGCCATGCAACAGAATATTACTCAGCAATAAAAAGGAATGACATACTAATACATGGTACGACATGGATGAACTTTCAAGACATGCGAAGTCAGAGAAGCCAGTCTCAAAAGGCCACACATTATATTATTCCAATCATGGAAATGTGCAGAATAGGCAAATCTGTAGACATAAAAAGTAGATTAGTAGTGCCTAGGGCTGGAGTAGGAGGGACGGGGTGGGTAGGGAGTGAGTGCTTATGAGTTCAGGGTCTCTCCTGAGTGATAAAAATGTCCTACAATTAGACTGTGGTGTGTTTGCACAACTTGGAACATACTGAAGATGACTGAATTGTACACATTAAATGGGTGCATTGCATGGCAAAGGAATTATATCTCAACAAATCTGTTCTAAAAAGAACACAGACGATGCTGAAACTGAATCTTTAGGAATGAAGAGAGTGAAAATCCACACAGAAAATCAAATCCACCAACATGAAGAAAAAGGAGGAGGAGGAGGAGAAAGTAGATGGAGGAAAGGGAAGAGGAAGGGGAGGAGGAAAGAGAAGAAAAGACACCATCACATTAGACGCAGGTTTATTTCTCTCTCTTACTGTAGCGAAATACCCAGCTCAGAATACCCGTAGATGGTAAAACAGTTGCAGGATATACAAAACATAGCAAGTAAGAGTTCTTTTCATGTGTGATAATAGGCCAGGCGTAGGCAACCACTGCCTCCCATTTCATTTGTAAATGCTTCTGAAGAAACGTAATTAAAAGCAATATAGAAAAGTTATAATCCCCCAAATAATGATTACAAGAATTTAGCTCCCCAGGTTAAAAGGGAAAAAAAGTTCTTTCCTTTCACCTTCTTCTCGAATTTTCATTTAAATACGTAGATTTCACTGGACTTTCTGAACCACTGCTCAGAAGTCACAGATGCCCACAGTCGACCATTCTGAGCCACTGGAGAATCCAACAACAGCTTACCTTTTCCAATGTACTGAAGGAAGGCCAGGACTGGTATCCATATTCAGACGCAAATCGAGCTTTCGGGAAAACTTTCCAATCCCAGCAATCGCTGATATAGTCATAAAAATGTACGTCTCCAAAATAATTGCTGTAAGGGTTCTGAGAGACCCAGCCTTCTGCGATGGTTTCATCCCCATTTGTAGGACTGGACGGAATAAAAGGACGACTCTTATCTCCCTGCATTCAGAAATAAAATGATTTAGAGGATAATATTTTCATACAGTAAAGTACACACCATTTACTTCTTTAAAAGTACTAACGAGGCCTAGAAATGCCAAGAAGCTGAGAGAAGATTAGTAGGATCACCTACCCCTCCCTGTTCAACAACCGCCACACGTTTCTGCTCCCCGCTGCGCCTCACATCCTAACCCACACTTAGCTCGCCCCGCGCAGCAGCCGTTCCTGATCTTTCCAGCCGTGTTTCGCCTCCACTCTCACCCATCATGGGTAGTGCACGGGCTAGTCCAGAGTTTCTGGACTTTGGCCCCGTTGCCGCTTGGGGCCGGATGCGTTTTTGGTGGTGGCCGTCGTCCCGTGCAGTGCGGGACACTTAGCAGCCTCTCTGGGCCCTACCCACTAGGTGCCAGTAGTCCCCTCACCTGGAACGCGCCTACAGACATGGCCAAGTGTTCCCGGGGGCAAAATCGCCTCCATCTGAGAACCACAGATCTAGTGGGTAAGAGCAGAAGCTATTGAGTCAAAGGGGCCTGCGTTCAATCCCAAATCAGAACCTTAGTATTCAGGCATAAGCCTTAATAGTCTTATCTGTAAAATGAGCACAATAACTTTTTCGGAGAGGTATTGTAAATAGCAATAACTCATAGGCGGAAGAGACGGCGCAGTGTCCACCAAAACCCAAGTCCCATTTCCATAATACACAGCCGTCCCCGGGAAGTGGCTTCCCAGCGCTGTGTGGGGCCACGCGCCTCGTTCTCGTCCTTCCCCCGGGTGGGCGCGGGGGCCGAGGAGACGCTCCGGCTGGAACACGGCGGCGCCGCGGCTCTGGGAGGAGAACGCCCGTCCGCCGAGAGCAGCGTTTACAGCGCTGGCGAGAAGCAAACGTCCCGGCGCAAACCGCGGAAACGGTGGTCCGCTTGTCACAGCCGCTGCACGGAAGCGCCTGACGTGCAGCCCGGCGCACGGGCGGAACTCGGGACGCTGCCATTTCTGCCGTCGGTTTAGATGAGCGCGTGCTGGGGAGATTCGTGCCGCCAGCGCGCGCTCGTCAAGCGTTTGCGCGTCCGCGCGGCCGCGGGCTGCGCTCTCTCCGCCAGTCCGAGCCGGCCACGCCGGGCCCCGCCTACCTCCGCGTCCTGGAAGCGCGGCGGGGAACAGACGCGGCGAACGGATCGCAGCCACGCGGAACCGGACACGGAACCAGTCGCGGTCCGCGCGACGACCGTTCCCAGGAAAAGTGCCGGGCTCTTTGGGGATGGCAGGCAGATCGTGAGAAGGCCAGTGAGGCTTCTCTGAGAAACGGAACAGACTTTCAGGAAAGAATTTTCTCAGCTTTTCCCCGTTCGCTTTCACTTTTTCTTGATCTAGCCACTCACATTTTTTTTCCCTGTTTCTCTTCTGCCACAGAAAAGAAATCCCTACCCCTTCCCTTTGCCGGCCTGTCTTCCCGCCATCTTTCTGTCCACTTTGCTACCGCAGCCGATAAATCGCCTCCCTCTTCCAAACAGAAAACGCGGGCGCTCTCTTCAAAGTCGGCCCTCAACACGAGGGTTTGTAAGAGAAAAAGCAATAATTTTTTAAAAGAAAAGAGGAAGGCGATTTTACTAAAACAAATATTTAAAAATAGAAAGAAAGAAATCTCTCTCCACCGCCCTTTTCTCTCGGCGTCCTTAGCTGTCCCCGCCCCCGCCTTTTTTTTTTTGAGACAGAGTCTCGCTCTGTCGCCCGGGCCAGAGTGCTGTGGCGTCAGCCTCGCTCACAGCAGCCTCCAACAACTGGGCTCAAGCGATCCTCCTGCCTCGGCCTCCCGAGTAGCTGGGACCACAGGCCTGTGCCACCATGCCCGGCCAATTTTTCTATTTTTAATACAGACGAGGTCTCACTCTTTCTTAGAACCACTGAGCTCTGAGCCTCCTGCCTCAGCCTCCCAGAGTGCTGGGGCCACAGACAGGAGCCACCGCGCCCGGCCAGGACTCCCCTGGATCTAATAAAAGTTTCCTGGACCCCTTGCAGTCCATCAGATTTCTTTACCACCCACTCATTTCTCAGGCCCTGACATTCAATTCCGGAACATTCTACTCCACTGAAATGTTTTTCAAAAACTACCCACGGACTGCTTCTACTAACCAAATAAAGCAATCCTTTCAGCGCCCACCTGCTCCCTATCCGGTGCGCGATAACTACCCTATTTACATTTTGCCTCAAAACTCTACTCCACCTTTACGGTTTGGTTTGGACGTCACCTTTCATTTGAAAGCCTTCTCAGATTCTTCCAGTTAAAATTAATAGTTCTTCCACAAAGTTTCCAACGCTTTGGAGCTACATTTTTCATAGCCCTTCTTTCACTGCCCTGTGGAACTGGTCATTTTGTCCCTGCTTCTCTGACAGCAGAGTGTAGCCCCAGAGGACAGGAGTGTCTTCACACACGCAGGAGCAAGGCTCTGCTCTGGGTAATGGCTACGCGGTACATGTTGGTTGAATTTAAAAACATTAAAAATCCTGGTGAGATTATAGGTAATCTTAAATTTTAAAAGATACTGTTATAATGACTTTGAAGTAAAATGGGAAGAGAAAGCCAATCAATTGGCCCTGATTGATCAAGCTTAATCAATTTCCCTCTATTCCTCCAGGGTCTTGAACAATTCGGTAAGCTGGGCCACTCAGTAAAATTACTAACGAGTCTATGCCTGAAAACATCTACCCTGGATGATGCATTACAATTTCCAGATTTATGAATCATTTTACTCTTGAGGCCTAGTTTTTATTAACAGTTAAGAATCTCACAGATGACCTTTTTCCAGGTCACGATTTTCAATATGTACTTAGACCGAGAGAAACCATAAGGTGAACCAAGAGAATGGCCATAAAAAGAAAGCGTGAAGTGCAGTGAGAAACCAGTCATTACAGTTAGTGTGTAGACGGATCAGTTCACAATGCTTTCCCTTACGTGCCTTGTGCTTTGACAGAAATAACCACAGTAGTGATTATAGAGCATTTAATACTACCCATCTTCAAAGAAATTTCCAAACATCAATTATGGCTCACAGCTCATTTTAAGACAAATAGATCCCTTGCGAGAAAGGCCTAGTTCCATTTCAGAGATGGAGAAGAAGTGGCACAAAGAAGCTAATTTTTTTAAGTTCAAGAACATAGTGTTAAAATTGGTGATCAGACTGTGTTAAGTATCTGAATACCTACCTTGCTGAATAAGACCAACAAGGACGGTGATGAGGACTAGCATTAATTAAACGGTTACTGTGTGCTGGTCTATGTCATGTACCTTCCACCCATTATCTCACTTAGTCCACATAAAACTCCTGAAAGTTAGTTCCTATTTTTAACCCAGTTTTATAGATGGGAAAATGGAGATTAAGTAACTTGCCCAAGATTACAGACAGGAAGTGGTCCAGCCAGGATTTTGACTCATGAGCACTTCGCCACTATGCCATGAAAGTAAAATCCTCAGATATTAAAATTCATTTCTTAAATCCATCAGATATGAAAAGCATAATACAGTGAGTAAAAAGATTAGAAAATAAACATTCTGTAAATATTAATTAAAGTTTATGCCATCACATTTTGCGAACAGAAAAATTCTTCATGACCCATGACTTAGTATAACAGGTAAGCTATAAATTTGAAACTGTGTTTTTCATGAATTTTCAGTGAAGTTGTTCTCATAAATGGAACAGTATCATCAACTGGGCATGTTTAGGTGCTAATATCATGTACTATTTTAAAAAATATATCCCTCTGCAAATTGCTTCCAAATAAATATATCGAGATATTTAAAATATTTAATTACAGATACAAAACTGTAAAGACAACCAGATTATTGAATTACATGTTAAACTTCCAAATTTTTTAAAAGTTAAATTTTTTAAAGGCATTACTGAAAAAAAGTGCTACTTCTCACAAAAAAGGCGAGTTTCTATTAATGTACGTCTGTATAATGTGCCTATCAGAAAAACAGTGGTGCAAAGAGAACCACTGTAGCGGAAGAGCCCTCAGGTGGAGCTGAGAATCAGCTCTTCCTTCTGCCTTTGCCCCTTAAATCACGTACCAACATATTCATGTATGGGATGCCTAACATTCTACTTCAGCACTTACCATTACAGAACTGCGAAAGTGGCAGAGCAATAAATATCTCAACTAGAGAGTCTAAACCCTTGGGGATCCACAGATGGACTTCAAGGAGTGTGTGACAACCTGCAGTTGCAGCGCAGCACTGGTGTGTGTGTGTGGGGAGCACCACAGAGCCGTTAGCTCTCAAGTCTCCAAGCCACCACCCTCTCCTATGCTCTGCACGGCAATGCAACGCCCTGTACTCAGATGGCACTGTTCAAGACTGCTCCAACAACGGGCGTAAAATATGCTGTATCCATACTCAAACTTACCCATTTTAAAAACACTTTCTGAAGTTCTACTGCATTAAAAATCATTACTTACTGCCAAGACCATCTCTCTGATGTTTTTCACATAAAGTGTCACATAGTCATCGATGTAGGTTTGCAGGTCGGTAAAATTGATATGAAACCAGTCCATCCTCAGTGCTGCTTCATTTTCATTATTGCCACTCCATATGATAACAGAGGGATGAGATTTCAGTCTCCTGATCTGAAATTTAAGAAAATATAAAATAATTTCCAAATATTAATACTTAACATTAAAAATCAGGAGCTATAATTATTCATAAAATTATAGCAATTGCATTTCTGCACATCAATTCTTTTTTTTCATTTCAAAGTATTATGGGGGTAGAATGTTTTTGGTTACATGGATCGCTTCTGTAATGCTCAAGTCACGGTTAAAAGTGTGCCTGTCACCCAGATACAGTTCATATGTGCCAAAAAACTCATTCGAAAACGGCCTAGTCATGTTAGCTATGGGAATACAATAAGCAATCTCCAAGATTCTTTGTAGCTAGATTTTATAAACACTGATAAGACAGAGATTCTCTTCTCTACTGTATAAAAACTGAAGAAAATATTATATAATCCCTTGTTATAAAAAAAAGAAAGAAAAAGAAATCAACCTTATCGCTCTCTGAATTGACACAAAAAGATTCCACTACAGAAAGATTGCAAGAAATACAAAAGGCAGGAGACATTACGTTACAGGGGTTAGTTCGCAAGCGCAAGTTGGAGTTTCACGTGAAGACACAAATGAGGCAGAGCAAATACTCCCACTGGAAGAGGGACCGAGGTTCCCATGCAGTCTCCACTGGGATCGGAAACTCAGAAGGAGAACTAGAGAAGGTTTTACAAAGCAAGTGAGTACTAGAGGCACGCTGGAAGCTACAGACAAACATGGAATATTCTACAGGAAAACTGATTACGGAAATCAAAACGATGTCTCCTGAAGTAGCTATCAATGTCATATCCCGAGAAATCCATCAATGTTATATAAGTTACCAAATATATCTAAATATAAAAGAGGAAATTAGAGCATCTATCTGAAAACCATGCCATGTGAGGCCTACATGAACTGGGCTCTCTGGGCTTGGCCCAACCTAGAGGCACCGGTTGTGTTACCCACTGGGCAGCCTCAAACGTGTCTCTTCCTCTGACACACTGGGGTGTGGCCCCGCAGAGGAGTGTGGTACAATGCAAAGCGCGTCAATGGAAGACGACTTTGGCAGCTCTCCTGAGTATGCGCTCATCTTGGGAGAGACCAACGCTGGGAAGGTCAATTAGAAAACAAATGCAATGGTTGAGGGGAGAGAAAGTGAGGGTTGGAACTAGCGTAGTAAGTACAGGGATGGGAAGGGAAGTACAAATAACAAGTAACATTGGCATCAAAACAATTGGCTGGACTTTAAAACCAGTTGGATGTGGGAGGTGAGAAAGAAGTACCAAAGATGACTCTCAGATTTCCAACCAAAATGAAAAACGCTGAAAGAGTGCATTGGGTGAAAGATAATGGATTTACTTTTAAGACATGCCAAGTGAGTGGTGTTAGTGGGACAGGTAGTATTATTTAGTATTTCTTTTATATTGCTTACATGTATTATCCTGATATATCTTCGAAACAGTTTCGTGGGAGGAGTAAGGTCACACCAGTTTTACAGATAGAGAGATTGCGGCTCAAGAGGTAAAGTAACCTGACTCAGGTGGCGGACTCAGCATTCAAGAAGAAATCAACACTGTATATCAACATGCAAACAATCTAACAGACAGGCGGACATGAGAAACTGAAATCAGGGTGTTAGGAATAATTCACATAATGGCTTTACCTGAAGTTACCAAGTGAGTGAATTTGTTCCCCTCTTTGACATGTTGCAGGACATGCAGGACACTATAAAATTTACACAATATGTCTACATAGTCTTGCAGACTCTAGAAAGTAGGGATGATCTTCTGGTCCACTGATCATTTCTTTTTTTTTTTTTTTCTCTTTTATTTCAGCATATTATGGGGGTACAGATGTTTAGGTTACATATGTTGCCCTTGGTCCCCCCCATGATCATTTCTAATGACTACTAATGAACTACTCCAATGAATGTTTCACAGTATTTTGCTAACATATGATACATTCACAAGTTAGTTCCTAAATTGTATTTTTTAGGAGTTCATCATGATTCAGCATTTTCTCATATTGCCAAAAATGCCTCTCTGATTCTACATGGAAACCCGTGCCACACACTTCAGATGTGGGGGACAGGGAGTGTCATACAACCTGCATTTCGAAGCACGATCACCCCCTAAACAGACCTTGCTGCAAAAATAAGTATATTCAGTACATGGCCGATAAGCCTCAGATCTGTGACTGAAGTTATCAGTTGATGATTTTATAATAAACATTATTAGTATTTTTTAAAAAAGATATTCCAGGGTCATCTAATATAATTCCTATCCCAGATCTGGAATCAGTCATTCTCTAAGAAGCTTTTCTCTTAATGGGAAAAATTATTTCAACATAAGGATACTCAGTACTACCAGGTTGGCCATTATTCCTAGGACTTTTTGGTGGACAGAGATAGCATATAATCGCTTCCATGCATTTTTATATCTATGAATACAAATATAAGTGTGAATATGTGGAATGCAAAAGAAATCAAGGGATCAAGACTCGATCTAAAATTTTGTCCTGAGCAATTCAAAGCGTGGTGCTGCCATTTGCTAAGGTGGGCAAAACAGCCGGAGAAGCAAGACTGGGGGAGGTAATGTAAGTTTGGTTCATACATGTTACATCTGAGATGCCTGTTACACCTCCAAGCAGAGGCACCAGGTAGGCAGTTGGATACAAGGAGGAGGAAGTCAGGACTGGGGACTAATCTGGGAGCCGTCAGCGCACAGCTGTGTTAAAGCCGTGACAGGGTGGAATCACCGGTAGTGTCAATTACCTGACAGTGTAATTCCATTTCTCATGAAATTTAGCAGAAAACAACAAAAGGAAATGAGGAGAGATTTACCAAAAGGTAAAACCAAAACATACGCCTTTTCTTTCTTGGAATGTCGACACACACCTGGTAAGCCACTTCTGCTCTCACGGAATCGATGAAGCCTTGCTCAGTGGGATAGAGGGCACAGGCGAACATAAAATCCTGCCACACCTACCAAATCAAACAAACGGCAATAAAGCACTTCCACAAGTTTCATCACACAGAAAGAAAGTCCTCATTCTGAGCTCTGGGGATTTTCTTTCACACACATGAAAACTCGAGTCAGCGTGACGAGCGTGACCATTTGAGCGCTGCCACTCACAAAGGCACCGAGCAAAGGCGCTCCCAGACTTCGGGACTTCCCAGAACTACACAAAACTTATGGAAACCTGAGAAGGGAAAATGTTAGGTAGGTAGGAAAGAAAGGGAAGGAGGATTCGAAAAGGGAAAGAGTGAGCATGTCGAGGGGAAATAAAGTAAAGCTTCCCCCCAGGCCCTGCTCACTGCTAATTCAGTGGAAGTTTCACCAGGCGTTTGGTACCGAGAGATGCGCCAGACTGTTACGAATCATACTTTGTTTACAGAGGAATTAACTTCTCCTGGCCGAAAGGATGACTACATGCACGTTTCAGTAATGAACCACGGACGCCCCGCCTAGGGAGGCTGTGCCATGCAGGCAGTAACCCCTGCAGCAGGCGCCTGGTTGGGGTCTCGATCCCACCACACAGGGCCCATGTGAGTTGGGGCCAGGTGTCTGGCCTCTCCGTGTCTGTTTCCTTACCTGTAAATGATAGAGGACAATAGCGCCTACCTCATTAGACGGGCATGAAGACAACAGAAAACAATATATGCAGAGCACTTAGAACAAGGCTGGCACTCAATGACTAGTGTAGAATATTGTCATCGGCGTGACCATCAGCGTTGTCATTACTGTAATTCCTGCTCTTCTGTGGCACTCTTTATATTTTAGAACTGTACTATATATTTCCTTTGCTTAATCCTCACCATTGCAAAACATGTCGAGAGTACTTAAAAACAATATTAAGCACACCTTTTCTTCACTTAATTGTATTATTTTTCTTCTCTGTAGGTTTTGTCAGAGCTCCTTCAAGTTAAATTTTTTTAAATAAAATTTTATCTTCTTTTTTATACAGACCAACATATCACAAAGAAAATTACAAGGAAAACGTAGGTAGATATATACTTAGATATAACTAATATGTAGAATGTCTATCATTTAAAAATAATGAAATAATTATGGTAGTTGCTATTGACTGTGGCTCTGGGTTTACAAGATGCCATTTATTGCTTTAGCTAAAAGTAGAGCATCATTCCTGGCTCTGAGAAAAGAAATAAAGAGCAATATCATCCACTCAGAACACTGGAGGTCAGACTGAGGATACAGTAACTTATCCGTACATAAAATGCTATCAACTACTCACCATAATTCCTAGCTCATCACAGAGTTCATAAAATTCATCCTGCTCATAAATTCCTCCTCCCCAAACGCGGAGAGTATTCATGTTGGCATCCACAACAGACTGCAAAAGGAGCCGTAAGCTACACAAGAAATTTTACAAACAAATGCTAATTTCAAAATTTTGGAATTTTTATGAAAAGATTTAAAAAACAGATTGTGATAGATAAACACATTTCAAATCTCTGTTAGAAAAACACACTTTAAAATTATGATGGTTTCAGTATAATGCAAATTAAAGAAAGTGAGATAAAATTATATATACATTAACTGTAACCACATAAAACAAATAGAAAAATTATAGGTGATATCTTTTCTCTGCTTTCTAAATTTTCAGTAATGTTATTATACTTCTTTTTCTTAATTTTTGTTTTTAATTATTATGGGTACAATATTGTACTATTTTTAAACTAAATTTTTGTTTTATAGTCATTCCTATGGAACAATACAGTGGTAAGCCTTGGAAAGTATGCGCTAGTTTTATATCACCATTTCAAACTATAAAGCAAAAACCAAAGCTTGACTACTGGTGCCTAGCTCGCCCTTCTCTCCTTGTTTACAACTCCTCCGGACCGGTACTTCTTTCTCTAGTAAATTTCCTTTCTACTCTTTCCAATTCTTGTAGATTCCAATCTAGAAATTTACAGGCAGTTTGAGGACATGGACCCTCCCTGCATCCCCAGAACACGGCTAGGAATGAATGAGGGAGCCAAATAATGGGCTGGCCGGGCCCCAGAGCACTTGGTCTCCGCAAAGGCACCGGGTGGCCCAATGGTTGGTCCAGCTGCCCGGCCATGGCCAACCCAGCCCCGAGGGGAGAAGAGCATTTGAAAGGAAAAGATAGAACAATTTATCCTGCATCTGTGTCTGGAGAATTTCATTTTCTTATAAAATCTAAAAGAATGGGTACATTTTGAAGTAAAAGGAAATTATTACAACTTTTGGCAAAATTAGGGTTTAGTTACTAACCACATTTATATTCTGCAATAATATATGACAATGCATAGTTTTACATTTGTAAATGAGTTAAAATGTTATTTAACTTTAAGGATAAATAAGTTAAAGTGTGTTTATTTTCAATTAACAGTTTATTTTCATTATCACAAAGATAAAAATGTATAAACCCAATTATTAAATATTGTTGTCTTAGAGTTCTATTCTCAAAGCCTCAGAAAAATAGTTTTTTTTTTTCTGGATCTAGAATTTTTAAGAGTTTATCTTGTTTTTAAATAAATTTTATTGTCTATATTTAAGGTATACGGCATGATGTTTTGGGATACATATAGATAGTAAAAAGGTTACGATGGTCAACCAAATTAACATATTCATCATCTCACACAGTTACCCTTTATTTTTTGTTTTTGTGGCAAGAACAGCTCAAATCTACTCATTTAGCATGAATCTCATAAAGAGCACAATTTCTTTACTTATAATCCTCATGTTGTACCTTAGATTTCTAATACATCTGCTACTTGGTAGCCTCTGACCTACTTCTCCCCACTCCAAGTATTTTTTCTTTCCACCTATTTTTTGTGGGAGAAAAAGGTTTTTGTTAGTTCTTTAGTTAAGGTAAAAATAAAAGAATATGCAAATATCTTAGCATAAAACAGTAAATATGTGTTCCCATCTTTTAAAACCATGCTCGAAAACATCTAAGGTACTCTTTGAAAAACTGAAAAAAGTTTAATAACATTTTTTTTTCAGAAACTAACTATCTGAAATATGAATTAGTCATTTCCTTATTTCTTCAGAGTAAATACATAATAGTTTTCTAAAAACTGGTTAGCTTCAGCACAATCTCAAATAGTTTGGCTATAAGACTATCTATAAAGCCCAGGAGAATGGAATACATGATTTTAAAATTCTGTCCATTCTAAAGTTTCTGTCATCTAGATTTCTATACTACCTCTCAGTTTCTTCCTCTGGGACTAAAGAAAGTAAAAATGAGTAACTTTTTTTCCACACTTTTTAAATTTCAATAGATCTAGGGGGTACAAGTGTTTTTGTGACATGGATGAGGTGTATAATGCTGAAGTCAGGGCTTTTAGTGTGCCCATCAGCAGAACAGTGTACATACTCTTCAGCTTTGTGCGGCTGTTAATTAAAAGAGTAACAAGAAAAGAAAGATGATAACTTACACGTCAGAGGTTACTCGATCCTGGAACGAATCTGCTGGGATCCAGTTTGAGCCTTTCAGAAATATGGGAAATCCATTAATTTTAAAGTAGAAACTTAGACCGGGAGACCCTTTTATGGGCTCTTGTATAAGTTCCACCGTCCTAAAATAAACCTGTCATGAACAGAATTAAATACGAAATAAAACATAAGCAAAATAGGTTAAAAAAAAAAAAAGGAAGCAACCTTTTGGAAAAACTTACATGAGCAGAGTTTAATGTTAATTTTCCTGTTTACTATGAAGCACTTAATATGGAAATGCACACTTCAGAAAATATATATATACATATATATAAATTATTGTTGGTATGTTATTTGTCTTTTAAAAGAAAAATATAGAAATTAAAGAGTAAAATATCTTGTAGTCTTCTTCATGAAATAGGCATCTGCAATTGTACCAAAAATCATTTGAGGATAACATTTCAAAATTAAAACAAAAACTAATGCTATTTCCCAAAAATAGGGAAAAAATGCCATCAATTAAACTGTTACATCTTCGAAAAACACATTCTCATTTCAATGTTAAAATGTGCCGAAATGTGCATCTTAGAATCAAAGAAATATAGCATGAGGTATCTCCTAATTTAACGAGTTTCCCATCTTAATAGCACATTACAATAAAACCACTTTGTTTAGGGGGCAATTGAATCCCAACTAATTATAACATTCGATGCAGTGTTTGAGAGAGCTCTGGTTTCTCAGCTGGCGCGGTACGTGGGGTGCTAATGGAAGAAGAGGGGTGAGAGGAAACTGAGACTCTGTCCCTGTGACAGTCTAGCCGGGTTTTCCCACAGTTAAGCACGGGCAGTAAGGCCATCCATAGAAAAGCTCTGACGTTCTTACGAAATTCTTCATTCTTGCCAGCTAAAAACTGAATCAAGGAATAAGATTCTATACCAATAAAGCCTAGCCTTCAACCAAAAGCACACACTTCTTTTCTAATCAAAAAGATCAGAAAATGAATTAGTCAACTTATTTCATGCAATAAAAGTGTCCACCATTCTTTCACTTTCTCACCCTCGCCCTTATTTACAGGGTGTGACAACAGACACCAGAATTAAACTTATGAGAAGACACAGATTATGGCGTGGATGAGGAGGATCTTGACACAGAATCATCATTCCCACTTTTGGGTTGCAAAATGTAAAGAAGGCAGAGTGATCTTCAGAGGTGACTTTTAAAACCCCTCGATGGTGGGTTCAAACATCTAGAACGGTGAGTGGTCTTGTAAGGTTGGCCTGGGGACTCGGGGAGTCCCTTGGAACCTTCCAGGGAGTCTTTGCATTCAAAACTACCGTCATAGTAAAGCTAAGACATTATTTGCCTTTATCCCCCTCGCTGAGTGGGGGGGAATTTTCCAGAGACTCCGTGCTGTGTGATGACTGTGTTGCTCAGACGGCTAACGGGATGTGTGCTGTGTGGTCTGGCGTGATCTAGTTCTAAGGCAGAGGTTCCAGGGATGAAAAAGTAGTTTTCAGAGATAACTCACTACTTGTTCCTAGTACTTTTACTCTTTACTTTTATTTATATTTATTAGCTGGTTTTGGTTATTCCTGCTATAATCTCGGTAACCTCATTGTCATTCAATAAAATCTAATTTTGAACCCCAAAGTTTTCCTTAAAACCTACACAGAAACACAAAAGGACTAAGTACTGTTTGTTAATTTGTTTCTCAGTAATATTTAAAGTTTTTAAATTTAAAAAATTAATTTTAACTTAAACTCATTTTAGAGTTGAATATTTCATCTCATTCTAAAAGAAAATTTACTTATACTTTTTCCTAATTTGTGAGTGAATTGTTAAAATCAGATTAGAAGGCTTACATTCTCAACCTACAACTAACTGCACTGTCTCCATCTAAAAATGCTGAAAAAACGAAACTGACGTATCAGAGTTTTTTGACTCATGCAAGTAAAGAATCTACTCCAAAGAAACTAAAGGATATACTTTGAAATAACTAAAAGAGTGGAAGTGGAAAGTTCCTAACACAAAGAAATGATAAATGCCTGAGGTGATGGATACCCCAATTACCCTGATTTGATTAATTCATATTGTGTGCCTGTATCAAAACATCACGTGTACCCTAGAAAGATATACAACTATTATGTACCCATAATAGTTAAAAATACAAAAATTAAAAAAATTGGGTGAAATTATAAATAAGAAATGAAATTATGATGAAAGCCATTTTCCCCTCAGCTTTATAAATGTTAATAATTTACCTTATTGTGTCTTATGCAATGGAACATTTTAAAAATAGTATTTATAATGCCACTTAAGTTGTGAAACCAATTAGTCACAGTATAAAGTATAAAATAAATTCACATTGAGACCAATCATTCGCAGTATAAAGAAAAAGGAATTGAATATTTAAACTTAGACATGATAAGCTCTTTAAAAGCCAACTATTATTTATTACATCTTTTCAAACCGGAAAATGAAAAAGCCACGGAAGCAGCTCACAGGGTTCGTTACGCAGCACGAAGTGGGAAGTGCACATATGAGCCAAGATCCCGTGCCGCAAAGCCTCCCAGACGAAAAGTCAGTGACAGAAATCGCAGCACTGCCACTCTGCCACGAGCCAGTAACTCATCCAACTAAAAGTACTACTCAGCTTCAAGAAACAATGGTGATCTGGCACCTCTTGTATTCTCCTGGATGGAGCTGGAACGCATTCTACTAAGTGAGGTATCCCAAGAATGGAAAGACAAGCACCACATGTACTCACCAGCAAATTGGTATTAACTGATCAACACATAAGTGCACATATAAGAATAACATCTATTGGATGTCGGGCAGGGGGGAGGGGGAGGGGGAAGAGGAGGAGGGGATGGGTATATACATACACAAAGAGTGCAATGCGCACCATCGGGGGATGGACACGCTTGAAGCTCAGAGTTGGGGGGGAGGGGGGGACAAGGGCAACATACATAACCTAAACATCTGTACCCCCATAATATGCTGAAATAAAAAAAAAAAAGATTTAGCTGCAATATGAAGACTGAGTTGATATCTTATCTGAAAAATCATAGTTTTTCTTTAAAAATGGGTGAATTTCCTGATATTGATGGACTTGCTATTTTGCTTGTCTTTGTCTGCTACCGGCACAATAAATCATCAAAGATCTTACTTTACATGAATTTTTTTTTTTTTGAGACAGAGTCTCACTCTTTTGCCCGGGCTAGAGTGAGTGCCGTGGCATCAGCCTAGCTCACAGCAACTTCAAACTCCTGGGCTCAAGCAATCCTTCTGCCTCAGCCTCCCAAGTAGCTGGGACTACAGGCATGCACCACCATGCCCGGCTAATTTTTTCTATATATTTTTAGTTGTCCGATTAATTTCTTTCTATTTTTAGTAGAGACGGGGTCTCGCTCTTGCTCAGGCTGGTTTCGAACTCCTGAGCTCAAACAATCCGCCCGCCTCGGCCTCCCAGAGAGCTAGGATTACAGGCGTGAGCCACCGTGCCTGGCCTTTACATGAATTTTTGACAACAAAATATAAGAGGCGCTGAAATATTCAAAGTACTGAATAAGTTTTTGCATCTCAAGGCCAGCCCGCAGCTACCATAACCTTTGCCCTGTGTTCGGCAGGCAGAGCTGGGGACGCTGCTGTCCCAGCGGGAATCCAGGAGCAGCTCCCCACTGTGCTAGTAGTCGTTAGCCAGTGTCACTTAAGAATGTCCTTCACAAAGCAGTAAAAATTATTCATTTTATTAAATCCTAACCCTGAGTACATATTGTTTCAACACTGTGTGTGACGAAACGGGCACTACCCAGAAAGCACCGTTCCTAACAGACAGACGGACGGACGGACGGACGGATGTCTTGAGGACGAGCCTCGGGCCCTCGTCTGAGCTGTGCGCTCATCTGTCACCTCGCGCAGGAAACTCCACGTTTACTTGAGAAAAGGACTAACGGACAAACCAGGGTTATCGGACTTGGACACCTGGCAGACATTTTCTTCAGAATGAATGAAGTGACTCTATCACTTAAAGGAAAACAACTGACAGTATTTGTGACCCAGGATAAAATTCAAACTTTCAAGTAAAAATCAGGGTTTAGGAAAACTTGTACCCAGTACCATAAGCTTGAGAGCTTCCCAATACTGAAAAACTTCTCCGATGACATCCGTGGTGAAAGCAACAAACCTGACAGTGACCCTGCAGGATGGAATCCTCAACATTTGGGAGATCTGTAACTCCCAGGACACCAGCATTTTCCAGAAAACAATGTATGATATTACAATACCGTACATGGGTAAAAGATCCATGGTATGTGCAAGACAGACCCATGGATTTTAATGGAACAGAGGCTAAAAAGTGGATTGAAATGGCTTCCGAGTTCGCACTGCAACTAACTTTTAAAAAAATACCACTTGGTAAGTTCTAGTGTAGTACCAAAGAATACACACAATCATCTGAAAAGACTATGAATGTACTCTTCCTTTTCCAACTACGTGAGGTCTAGACTATGTGAGGTCAGACTTTCCTCATGTGTTTCAACCAAAACCGCAGACTGCAAGTTGACTGAGCGCAGATGCGGGGAGAATCCGGTTGTCTTCCATTCAGCAAGACATTAAAGAGATTTGCAAACATGTAAAACAATGTCATTATTCCCACTGAATATTTTGTTTTGTAAATATATTTATTTTTCATAAAATAAGTCAAATATACTAACATGCCATGGGTTTACTATGGTGATTTAAAATGAATAAGTAAATATTTAATTCTCAGTTTGAATATTTAATATGGTAAATATCAGTACAGATAATCTACATAAACAAAAGCACATTGTGGTTCTCAATAATTTTTGTGAGTGTAAAGCAGTTATGAAACCAAAAAAAATTTGACAATCACTTATGTAGATAATAGAACTCATTGATTTCTTAATATCTATTAATGCTACAAAATACTATTAACTATAAAACACAACATCTTTCAACCTGTGTTTTTCTTTTCTGTATAAATTTTCTTGTGAAAAGACACCTCTCCGTCTCCCCCAACTCCTGTAATAACAATTTTATGACCCGGGTCACAGTAAAAGCTAAACCATCTGACAGTGCCTAAGAGCTGAAGCCATAATTACCAGCCACCTTTCCCTCTGGGCATTCTTGGAC